TGTGTATATATATATATATATATATATATATATATATATATATATATATATATAAAATTATATCATAAAATAGCTGCACAATGAAACTTATGTACATACAAAAATTTCAAAAATACGAGCCCTGCTGTACTGGATTCTGTAACTCGTTATTGGAGTTAACGACAGTTTCGTTATCGTTGCGCAGCTTTTCTACGGTATACAAAAGCTGCGCAACGATAACGAAACTGTCGTTAACTCCAATAACGAGTTACAGAATCCCAGTACTGAACAGATTCACAAAAGTAGATACACATATGTTAATTATATTCGCAAATCTGATGTTTATGCCCGTATCACACTAGCGATTGGCAACTGCGTTTAAGTTTCTACGTTAGCTCTTGACCAATCAGAAAGGAACTGCTAGCTGCTGGATTGGTTAAGAGACAATTGTAAACGCAAACGTGAACACAGACGCAGTCGTCAATACGGGCATTACAAGTGCTTTGTTCCCGCTGCGCATCACGCACCGACAATTTCGCCATCTGACGATGGTCACGTGAAACAGCTCGATTCAAATTCTTCAACGGAAGGTTTACTCGACTTTTGACGCGGACGAGGAATATGAGGTAAATCGTACTGTCGCGACAAACGTGAAATTGTAAGAATTGTGTCGTAGCGAGATATCATATTATCATATTTGAATAGTATCGTAAGAAAACGTCCAAAATGAACGATACACGCAACAGTAAGAAGGATAAGAATCAGCACATACAGGTCTTTGTACGTGTCAGGTGAGCAACAACAATCATTTGAAGAAGACGCTGACTGACGTTTAACAGGGAAAACCTGAATTTTATATACGCGGAGAGATATATTAAATCAGCTCTTTGAAATTTTCATCTTTATTTTTTTAATTGTTTCACTACATATATGAATACAAAATGTATAAAATGACAATTATGTTTAATAATGTTATATATTAATCTCTTTGCTTATTATCTTTTTACATTGACATTGATCCATTATATTTATGTGACATGATTTTTTTTTCTCAATAGACCAATAAATAATAGTGAGAGAGTAGGGAAATCATTATCCGTACTGGAATTGCCGTCTAATAATAAAGAAGTAGTGGTACGTGAAAGGCCACTAGACAAACATACAAAAAAGTTTACATTTGACAAAGTATTTGGACCAACATCGAAACAGGTATACACAAATATAAAATTTTTTTGCTTTGCAAAAATTAGAAACTTCTATTTTGAATAATATATATATATTTTTTTGAGGGATATTTATAATTGGAATAAATAATGTATGTATGTAAAATTTATAGATAGATGTATACGATGCAGTCGTTAATCCATTGCTTGAAGAAGTTTTGGCTGGATACAATTGTACAGTATTTGCTTATGGCCAAACTGGAACAGGAAAAACATTTACTATGGAAGGTGTTAGCAATGATCCAACATTACATTGGCAGAGTGTAAGTTTGTAACTTATCAATATTAGTGCAGCGCAATATCAAATATATATATAAAAATGTATATTAAATATGTATATATGGCTATATAACTTTAATTCGTACAGGACACATCAGCTGGAATTATACCACGTGCATTAAGTCACTTGTTTGATGAGTTACGTTTATTGGAAGTACAAGAATTCACAGTAAGAGTCAGCTTCCTAGAATTATATAATGAAGAATTATTCGATTTGTTATCGCCCAGTGATGATGCATCAAAAATAAGGTAATTTATAATTGTGATCATTGAATGTAAAAAGTAGGGGCGTTCGGGGAGATGCTATTTAGCGCTGAGTGTGCTCTGTTCTTGCTTGTTTCTGAAAGTTGAACAGACAGAAGATGCTCATAGCACTAAATAGTGTCTCCCTGAACGCAATCATTGGCTGCATTCAGCAGACTCAACAGTTGCACAACAGTTGAGTAATTTGTCAATGTAATTGGTCTAGATTTAGGGATCTAATAGCAAGAACCAATAATCGTTGATTGCTCACTGAGTGCTTTTTCTACTGAATGCGCCCATTGTATCATGTTTGTGTTCACAGGCTATATGAAGATGCTACAAGGAAAGGTTCAGTGATTATTCATGGATTGGAGGAAGTAACTGTGCACAACAAGAATGAAGTTTACAAGATCCTTGAGAAAGGATCAGAAAGAAGACAAACTGCTGCAACTCTGATGAATGCTCAATCGAGGTTTTTGTCTTAAATTATATTCATTACTCATTCATTTTTTTATTTATTTTATATTTCTGGATTTTATTAACATTTTTATATGACACTTGCAGTCGCTCCCACACAGTATTTTCGATTACTATTCATATAAAAGAGAACAATATGGATGGTGAGGAACTGTTGAAGACAGGGAAATTAAACTTGGTAGATTTAGCTGGGAGTGAGAACGTTGGAAGGTCTGGTGCAGTTGATAGGAGAGCAAGAGAAGCTGGAAACATTAATCAGTCCTTACTAACTCTTGGACGAGTTATAACAGCACTTGTTGAGAGAGCACCTCATATACCATATCGGTAATATAAATTTATAAAAGGGTATATAATTAAGGAGGCAATATTAGAATTTTGTAATGTCGCGATTAATAATTCTCTCGCTTCTTACATTGATCAGGGAATCAAAATTAACAAGACTTCTGCAAGAATCGTTAGGTGGACGTACGAAAACGTCAATCATTGCAACAGTATCCCCGGCGAGCATAAATCTTGAAGAGACATTATCGACATTGGATTATGCTCATCGAGCCAAAAATATCACAAATCGCCCTGAGATTAATCAAAAACTATCTAAGAAAGCATTACTTAAAGAGTATACAGAAGAAATTGAAAGACTTAGGAGAGATCTGTTGGCATCGCGTGAACGAAATGGTGTATATTTAGCACAGGACAATTATAATGAGATGCAATCCTTGATTGAAAATCAAAGTAAGGAAATTGAAGAGAAAATATCGCACATTAAAGCACTTAAGGAAGCTATGGAAGCTAAAGAGGTAAGTGTATAACGATTAATATTTAAATAAATCTTAATAATTGTGTATCATATTTTTCGTTATATTACCGTCGCTTTCTCTCCTAGAAAAGAACATTAACATTCTACTTTTTATTTAGCAAATATTCAATGAACTGCAAGAAAAACATATGGAGCAAGCTAATCAACTACAGAACACCGAAGAGTTATTAGAAACCACCACACACGCTTTGAGTTCAACCACTGTACGTTTACAAATGACAGAACGTGAAAAAGAAGAACAATCCCACTTAGTAGAGAAACACATATCCACCGAGAAACAACTCTTGTCGCAAGCGCAAGAGCTCTTAACCGTTGCTGATGTGATGACATTCGATGTAAACAAGCTTCACGATAAAATTTCTCATAAGAGGTAACTACATTTCATGTATATTTCGTATTAATTGTTATATATAGATCTCACTGATTGTATCATCTTGATAGATGTTATAATTATTTTAAAATTTATGTAACATTCATTTATAGGCAAATAGAAAAGGAGAATGAACATCTCAGTCATCAATTTCGATGTAATATTGCAAAACAGTTTCAGGAAGTTGAAAGTAATGTCTCGCTTTACACACAAGAATTACAACAATTTTGTACTCATATGAAAAATGACATTGGTAAGTAAAAACTTACTAGCGTGTACTTCTCTAAATAAAAGCTATGAAATATTTCATTATGGAACTTTCAGGTACACAAATGAAACTGTACAAAAAAGATATAGATTCGATGATATATCATATGACAAATGATATTGTTGATAAAGAAAAATCTGCTTTAGATTACTTTATAACAAATATGGATGAGTTGGTAAGAGAAATTTACTCATATATTTATTAGAAGAAGAAAAAGAAATTCAATGTAAATATTTTACAATGTATTTCTTTGTTTTAGCATGAAGATTATCAGCAACGGTTAAAAACAGAAATTGAACATACATCGAACATGACTGATCATGAATGTAAATTTCTGAATGATATATCCTCGAAGCTAACATCAAAAATTAGTGATTTGATACAAAATGAAATTGCGAAGAACTTACGACTTTTAAGTGAAAATTTATTTCAAAAGTTGGACAAACTATTAACATATACAAATGAATCGATAAATCAGGTTTGTGATCATAGATTGCAAGAACGCGAAAATTTGTACAAAAATATATCCGAGATTAAAGAAAATATACAGAAGGTTTGTGAAGGTGATGCTAAGATCATGGGAAAACAACATCAGTTTAAGAAGGTATGATTGTGATATACTAATAATTTTAACAGTACTTGTTTTACTTTCACACGTAAACTATATATTGATTTTACAGTCATTTGAAGACTTGTGGCTACAATTTAACAAACTAAATGACGATATGACTGAGAATTATTCCTCAGCGTGTGCCGTCTTAAGTCATGTTAATATGTGTTGCGACAGTACAAATAACGAAATTCTCACTAATTACGAAAACTCTGTTGAAAGAAACGAGACTATGCAGCAGAAAATTCAGAGTGATATACATACGCTTAAAAATGATATTGGATCTGGCATGGAAAAGGTGACATATATATGGCTTTTTGTTAGTCTTTAAATTCGCAAATATTGCAAAAAATTAACATGTTAAAAAATTAGATTAATATAAGTCATGTAAATTAATTCTCCTATTGTTAGAATTGGACGTTAGCAGAGGAAATTGTGACTCGAGGCGATAGTGCGATCAATGAACTTCAAACCGATTTAACCAACAATTGTGACAAAATAATGAAGAATAAACTGCATGTCGAACAAAATATGAAACAACTAAAAGAGAAGTTGAAGGAAGATAAGGCTACTTCCACCGCATCCATCAGAGTAAATCTCTAAAATTTCTGTACCGCTGTACGATTATGGTTCTGCAAAATGTACATATAACATGTAATATATTTTTATTTTACAGAATATGTATAATGTATTATTACAAGGAAGCGACTGTCATATGAAGCTTCTGGAGGATCTAAGAAACCGGAATACACAGATATCCTCGAACATGAGTGACAAGATCGGGATTAAAAATGAAAGTTTGTCCAAGTGGAATGACAAGACTGTTACGCAATTGCACTCGATACAGCAAAAGGTTGAGAAGTTCCTGCTTGAAGATGTACGGCACGATACTCCAACCGGTTGGTTTCCAATTTTTTTTTGTATGGTGCTGAATTTTAGAAGAGAAACAGACTAATTTGACGATTTTTTTTCATTCAGGCTTAACACCTGCGAGGAAAGATTACCAATATCCACGTAATCTTATTGCAACTTCACCACATGAACGGATCATTCAGAGATTCAGGGACGCTAGAAGTTATGTCGACAACTCTGATGATGAGGTAAATGTAAATGTTTGTGTACCTGCTTACTATAGAATGTTGTGGAGAAGTAAATGATGAATGGAATATAAACGACTGAATATAAGTAAATGGTGTGTTTAATTTAATATATATCTGTTGTATGTGTTTGCACAGGAAACAACATTGGTCAATAATAACTCGCCGAAGAAGCAATGTCCGAATGCAAATTGAACATTACATGTGACAATCGGCTGTATTTTATACTTACGGTAAAAGTTAATTTACGTTAGATTTACCATAAGATATAATGATATATCATGATGTAGTAAGCGTATAAAGAATAAATGGTTGACTAAAAACTTTTATCCTATAAATATGTATTATCATATTGATTAATCTGTAAACTGATAATATAATTAATATTTATAGGACATGTGAAACTGTATACAATGATTCAAAGAAATTCTATTACACATTCTATTCACTTTGAGATAGTCTTACATGAAAAATAAGTTCTAACAAAGCGGTTTCATCAGGAAATGTGATTTTTATTTGTCGTACATGTGTGTGTATGTATGTGTGTGTATATGGGATAGAACATCTAGAAACAATAAATGTTTTAGTTTAATGATTATTCTATCTCTTTTAGTTTATAATTTTAAAAACGCGCGCACTATGAAAACCCTGAAGGTCAATCTTTTCTTTTGGTATGAGCTCGTGAAAAATGAAAAATTTAACCTTGAAGATATATGCAAATGTTCACTTTTCATGAGTTTACATTGGACGAAAAGATTTATAATTCAACTATTTGCAAAATTATTTATTTTATATAATTTTATACTAGAAAAAAAGGTCCTCTCTCTCATATGATTGAAAAGTATGATCGAGTTTACGTGAAAAGATTCACGATTGATAGCAGATAGCTTTTAAAAGACGTCGGTTAGAAGTTTGTTATCTGCAAGGGTAAATATTTATTATATCTACTGAAATATTTGATTCATACCGTCGAATTTTGTGATACTGCCAATTCTTATGCATTAAGAGGCGTTTTTTCGTTTCGTGACCACGTTTGGTTGGTTGGTTTAGTCCACTTAACGCTTGCAACGCCGCAAGCGTCATTCTATCTTTGTTTAACATCCAATAAGCAACGTTGCGAGCGTTAAGTGGACCAAACTAACCAACCAAACGTTACCGTGGTCATGAAACGAAAAAACGCCTATGGTGCCATCCTTTAGTGTATGAAGCAATCTCTGTTGTAGAATTTCTACAACAGTGTCGGTAATGTCGCGCGGACCTTCGTATTTGTTGTGCCGATGTGACACGTCAAGACGTACCCACGTGTCAAAAATGTACGAGGTATTTATGTCTTAATTATTTCACTGAGGTTGAGACAACGTAAAAAATACGATGACAAATACAACGTTGCAAGTAAATAATCTGTGCGCACTTGTTACTGGAAGCAAGTTTTCTGAGATTAAGTGTAATAAACATTCATTATAGGTTAGCCGCCCGTGGATGCGTGTTATTAAATAATTCGTAAGTATTTATTTCCGGACAAGTCTTAAAAATGCTGAGGCGACGACATGTCAATGTTAAAACAGTCAAGGAACTGGACGCGTTCCCCAAAGTGCCTGAATTGTATGTCGACAAGACCGCGGTTGGAGGAACGTGTAAGTCGAAGTTTGTCTAATATTTGCATACAACTACTTGGCATTGTTTTCTTATTTTTTCTTATTGTTAGGAAGGAAGAAAGACGCGGACGATCGGTTAATTTCTGTCTTTTAATTTCTGTTCCAGTTTCCATTTTCACAGTCTGCATCATTACATACTTAATAATAGCTGAAACCAGCTACTTCCTTGACAGCAGATTGCAATTCAAATTTGAGACAGACACTGAAATTGATGCAAAATTGCAAATCAACATCGACATAACAGTGGCTATGCCATGTGGACGTATCGGTGCAGATGTTTTGGACTCCACGGAACAAGATCTATTTGGCTACGATTCTCTGGCAGAAGAGGACACATGGTGGGAATTGACACCAGAGCAAAGGTCACATTTTGAAGCTCTGAAACATATGAATTCATACTTGAGGGAAGAATATCATGCTATTCATGAACTCCTTTGGAAATCTAATCAAGTCACTCTTTTCAGCGAAATGCCAAAGCGGTATGTCTTGATATTATTTCTTGAGAAATTTGTATCAGCAAAATGCCAAAGCGGTATATGCTGATATTGTTTCTTGAGAAATTTGTTTGTATCAGTATTTTCATGAATATATGATATTTTATGCTGTTCAGATCTTACGAACCTGATTACCCACCGAATGCTTGTCGCATCCACGGCAGTTTGAATGTAAATAAGGTGGCAGGAAACTTTCATATAACCACTGGAAAGTCCCTGAGTGTACCTCGTGGTCATATACATATCTCTGCGTTTATGACCGACCGAGATTACAATTTTACTCACAGAATCAATAGGTTTTCTTTTGGCGGGCCTAGTCCGGGCATTGTGCATCCTCTCGAAGGCGACGAGAAAATTGCAGACTACAGTAAGTGATTCAATTGGACGAAACTCAAAACAACGACTGTGTTCAACAGAGAGAGCTTGCTTTGCAACTTTTGTAAAATTCGTGAATCTGATCGGTATGTCAATCTTAGCTGAATCTAAAGGCATACGCTAATTGAATTCATAAATTTGACAACAATTGCAAAATAGCTTTCTCTGCTACACAGAGTCAATAATATGATGGTTTTTGTATGCACAATTGGTTGCAAAATGGTTTAAACAACAATGAAGATTGGGAGCTCATCAAACTGTCAAAGTCGAGAGTCATTATTGACGTGCCTGCCCCGAATGATTATTATTATTGTTATTAGTTTTATTATTTGCTGTTATTTAGTATTATTAATTATATTATTATTGCGTAGTCCATTGGTAATGATTTTCAATTTTGACAGTTTGGTGAGCTCTCAACTTAATTGTGTATAAGATGTTTTACAAGTCACTGCATATATGTACAATGAGAGCTTTGTTTCAGACATGATGTTGTACCAATATTTCGTAGAAGTCGTTCCTACGGATATCAGAACATTGTTGAGTACATCTAAGACATACCAGTACAGTGTCAAAGATCATCAGAGGCCAATCGACCATAACAAAGGTTCCCACGGAGTACCGGGCATTTTTATTAAATACGACATGAGTGCACTTAAGATAAAAGTGACTCAGCAACGCGATACGATCTTTCAATTTTTAGTGAAATTATGCGCCACTGTGGGCGGGATTTTCGTTACAAGCGGTAAATATTGGCGGAAACGCAACGTTTTTTCCCCGTTAAGTAGTATTATTCTAAACAACAAGATTACCGCACGATCCGAATTTGCAGGACTGATTAAGAATATTGTACAAAGTTTCTGGTATGTCGTATGCTGCAAGTTCTTGAGCTCCGAAACGAAGGTGGACAACGATAGATTATCCGCTGCGCACTCCGCGAATTATCGAGCACCCGACACCATAAACCTACTCGATGTCGCAGCCCCGCGAAGTATCGATATTATGCTGAAGCCTCAATAAGAATAATTCGTATTATGAGTTGATACTTGCAGCGCGATAGCGCGAGAAGTGTGTGGAAACGTGCTACGCGCGCTACAACTGGTGGGAAAACAGAAGAGAAAAAAAGTATGTTTTATAATATCAGTTTCCGCGTGGAAAATTATTTAATACGAGAATGGTTTGTATATTAAGCGATATTGTGATAATAAATCATCTTTGAACGGTCGTGGTATGTCTCAACGTTAGATCGGACGGACTGTTCGCTTTTAAGTAACACGACTAAGTGGCGGTTCAGCCGACCTTTATTTTCAAATTAGCATTATCAATTGATGATCGATTGAATTTTGGAATTCGGTATCCAGAAGGAAAATTTATTCTACGAAAATTCACATTCGATAAATACATTCCCCAGACAATCTGGGGAAAAGTGTATAATCGCGGACAAAAAAATCGCTGCTTGTGAGTTTATAAACCCGCCCGTCTTATCCAATGGGAAAAATCTGTTTTCCATTAGTAGAATTCTCCAATTGGTCAGAATGGGTATGTTATCACACGCAAATAAAATCCACAACAAAACTCATTAAACTCATAAGTAAAAGCCTGACAATTTTTCCGAAGGCGAGTGTATGCTTTTTCGTCTTCGATACATCGCGAAACTACAAGAGCTGTCTTCTTGAAAAAATATTGCATACAATATTTCCATGAAAAGCTATAGTATACACATACACATGAACTATAGTTTTTCATGGGAATATAAGTTGCGTTCCGAAATTCACTGCCAATGCTGAAATTTTATAGTATACGTGACATGAACTATAGATTTTCAGTACTAGCTGAATTTCGGAACACAGCCATAGTATGCTATATTTTTCGAGATTAAGGGCCGGTTTCACCAACTCCGATCACGGTCAAAGCTGATATGGGTTTCAACTAAAAATTCTAATGGATAAGAAATGACAAAGTACTCATGTCCATCAGTTGGAACCTTGACACCAGTTAGATTTTGACCGTAACCAGAGTTGGTGAAACCGACCTTAAGGTCGCAGGTCTGTTTATTTTCCCCTCTGATGATCTCTGAATTAGTGCACGCTAATATAATAAGTGAAAAGAAGAGAGAGTACACTTGTCTCACTTTGACTTGCTGCACCTAGTTCAGAAAACTGTTCTGTTCAGTAGTGGCCAGGGGGTAATAACTCCCGTCTGGTAAGTGGCACTACCTACACCTACCGCCCTCTGAGATTGTCTCCGGAAGTGGCCGAACTAAACGGGTGACGTCACGCGGAGTGGGGATGCGCGCCAATGGAAGTATGAATGGCACGACAGACAGACGTTATAGAGAGCAATAGCAAGCAACTTATGCACGTATGGCACGTATACAGTTGTGTGATGAGTGTATATGTGTGGATGTGTGTATGTGTTGTATGCTATTGTATAGGTATTGTAGGTTAGTTGCTACTTCTACGATTTAGCTAATTGTTTTAGTACTATTACTACACTATTACTACTCTACAATGATTAGTAATAAGATAATATATATATTTATTGCTTTATATTAGTGCTCGCTGTTGCCCGCTGTTGCTCGCAGTTGCTCGCTATTGCTCGCTAAAACGTTTCAAGAACGTCTGCCTATGCGCGCCAGTTCATATTCATTGACGCGTATCCCCACTTCGCATGACGTCACCCGTTTAGTTCGCCCACATCCGGAAACAATTTCAGAGGACGCCACTAAAAACGGAATCCAATTTTTACAAGAGCGAGTTTGTATCCCCTGGTAGTGGCTCCGGGGTAAAAGGTTATCCCCATACGTCATTCTCCAATCCTTAAATGAGGTATGAATGAACAAGGCCCTGGCAGGTTCCAAGGCAACTTCCAAAAATCGCTGGTCTGAACCTGTTCAGACACGTCCCACCGTGCCGGCAGTTAAATCGGAACTTGTGTTCAGAAAACTGTTCGAAAACGAGCAGATCCGACGGCCGCATTTCTAAGAGCGCGACGCTGTAGTCGCTGTAGGCGCGTATGCAAATCGGCCATATTGGTTTTCAAGCCGACAGTGAGATCAGTTCGTCGGCGCGCTATCATTTGAGGTAAATCTAACGATTTTCTTGCCATCACTGTGTATCGTGCGGTGAAATGTATAAATATCGTGAAATTAGATGTTAATCGCGTTATTTGCGCTAACAATATCATGTAGCACACCGTATTGTCATCGATATACGCGCGAGCGCGTCTGCTCCCAACGAGCCTCGTCACCGTGAATTTTTAGCGTGCTTCGAAAGTTCTTGGGTGTTCAGTGGGAACGTCTGCGACTTACGTAAATCACAATGTAATATCCGTGCTCGCAATAATATATCGTAACGTACGCGTCGCGAGTTGCGTAAAACTCATGAGTTGCAAAGTATTCCGACGTGTTTGTCGAATTTCTCCTCTTATGACTCGATCGCGGACGCCATAACAACTTCCATATTTATCTATAATACGATGCTTGTAGAAGAAGCTCATGTCACGATATTCGTTCGTTGATACGAGATTAACTTTTCATCACGAATTGTCGAATTTGTAACGCGAATTCAGCGATTTTGTCGAAAAATAGTCATTTGGATACGGTTTAGATGGAGCATGATCTATGAATCCCGTACATGAATATATCTTGAATGTTCTTCACAAAGATCTAACCTTTGTTCATATAGTTTGGAAATAATCATGTGTAAAATATTTGTTTTTCTGTTTGTACCTTAGTGAAAATGCCAGAGTTAACAGAACTTGATAAGGCAGCCAGCTCTGAACCTACCAAGGTTGAGTTGGTGGGTATTGGTTCAGCAACTGATTCAGACTCGGATGATACAATACCTGAATTAGAAGATGCAGGCACTCCTGGCACCGTCAGCTTTCCAGGCACAGCTGTTACTGGCCTTCCCATTGATATGGTTTCTAAGGCTAAGCAGAGCCGTGGTGAGAAGAAAGCCAGAAAGCTGATGAGCAAGTTAGGATTGAAACCGGTATATAAATTACTGATATAATTACTGATATTATATAATTTTTGGTTCTCTGTGAAAATTTCTATTTTTTTCTATCCAAAACAATATTTTGTTTTTGTTGTACAGGTACAAGGAGTCAATAGAGTTACTATTCGTAAATCAAAGAACATCCTATTTGTCATAAACAAACCAGATGTCTTGAAGAATCCAGCTTCTGATACCTATATAGTATTCGGTGAAGCCAAGGTAAGAACTTTAACTTTGTGTTAAACAGATTTTGTATATTCATTGATTTTTTTTTTTATATTATGATGATTTATCAAAGTTTCGTATGTAAACAGAAATTTACTGTTGAAAAATACCTTGGCAGACTGATTTTATACTAATCATTTGTTCCTGCATCGACTTGATATATGTATGTATCATAGTTGGTAAATAATTTATTTACAGATTGAAGATCTCAGTCAGCAAGCTCAGGTAGCAGCTGCTGAAAAGTTCAAGGAACCACCAGTAGTACCGGCTACTGAAGCAGGTGGCAGTACTACAGTAAGTTATATCTGTTTTGGTAAAACGATTTTATATTGTATGATATGTGATATTACTGAACGTTATTTTTTTTTTTTTTTTTTTTTATAAAAGGTTGTTGCTCCGATACAAGAGGAATCTGAGGAAGAGGTAGATGAAACAGGCGTGGAAGAGAAAGACGTTGACTTGGTGATGTGTCAAGCCAATGTGTCGCGAGGGAAAGCTATTAAAGCTCTTAAGAATAATCAAAATGACATCGTTAATGCTATTATGGTGAGTTTTGAAATATGTATTCGTTCTTTTACACATGTTTGGATATTTTTTGTTCTATATGATGATTTTGTCAAAAGGTTTCGCTTTCATATTTTTATATATGTGTGATCAGAATAGAAATTATGTTGAGCTTCTTGGCAGACTGACTTGTTTTCTGTCATAAATATATACATATTTTACGAGTATGGGAACTGAGAATTTATGTGTTTGTTTTGTTCCATTATTTCAGGAATTGACAATGTGATGAAGCTGCTTAAAAGTAGGATGTGCTACGTTGTAGCTCGCGTTGTGAGGTGATAATTTACAGTCGTACATCATCAGCAGGTACCACTTATTTTTATTTCATTACATAAAAAAAATAAACTGATGTTCTGAGAAAAATCGGTCACATGAATATTGATTGAGCTCGAAATACTGAATCCACATGTATATATATAATTCATGTAAGAGAAAGGAAATAAATACAATAAGATCATAACATACATCTTCCTGGCATTTTGTCAGGACATATTACCAGATTTGTTCTTTTTAACCAAACTTCCTGCACTGCGTGAGAAATTTATGCCAAAGCGTCTTTGTAAACAAGGCAGTCTCAGTGCAGCTAAAAAGAACAAGGCTATCATTTGAAGAGAAAAAAATATATGATTAATGCCCGTTTCTATTAGCTTTAGTTAACCGATTGGTTGTTCCAATGGAATTGACCAATAGCACTTTTTTTTGTCAGAATTAACAAGTTCCGTGACATTGGTCAATTCCGTTGGAATAACCAGCCGGTTAAGTTAATCAAAGTCGGTAGAAACGTATTAGCATAACAGAGAGAAAGTTGACTATACCGACTGACGATGACAGACAAGTAAAGCTTTTTTTTTTTGCGCAATTGCAAGTAGATCGATGGATAAAGAATAGCTAGATAGTAAGAGTAATTTAGAGTATCTCCTTCGTGATGGTAATTATACATTTATCGATTACCGGTAATGGTACTCGTACACTTATCGATGGTCTAGTTTGATGCAGACTAAAGGTATCGTCTGTTGGTTCACTCAAAGACTCAATAACGATATGATAAAAGTTATATTATTTTGGATTGTTTTTATTGATAACATTTTATTTTATATAATACAATATTTTTTATTTGTAAAAATTCTGCAGCTTATGCATACAGATTGTATCGCGCAGAAATTTTTTATATCGCAGTCATTGCAAAACACGATATTTTTTGTGGTTTTCGGGATATTATAAAAAAATATGTATCTTGAGTCTATCTAGTATTCTTATTTCTTTTATATCGAGGCAATTTTTCCTCTCTATAGAATACTACAAATTATTGAATACGAAATATTTCTCTCTTTATTTTTTGTGCATCATTCTTTATTGTTTGTACATCGTGTATTATACAATATATATCAAGACAAGATGTCGCGTACTAGGCGGCTCTTTCTAACGTGAAAAAAAATATCGCGACCGAGCGATCCCGGCGTGACACGACGCGGCGTTCGCGAGAAGTTTTATAAGCCGTTTCGCGCACGTGTTGTCGGCGGATATTCACGAGATAGAAGAGCGCGAGAGAACGGAACGATGTCGGACAGTGCGATATTGCCGAGGGGGATGTGTTCCCATCCTCGATTCCGCTAATATTTGAGATTTCGGTCTCGTATATGACCCGCTATCCGCGGTGACATCTGGCGCGGATCTTAAGGCGCATTATTGCCCGCAAGAAGCGTTGGCAATATTGTCACGTAATAAAGGAGCGGTTTGCAGGAGCACCTGGAAGATGTAAGTGGTCGTATATCCCGTCGTGTGTGTTCGCGAAGGGAGGCGCGGGTGTCGCGGCGGGCGTATTGAAAAATCATTGAAATCCTCAGATTTCGAAATCATTGAGATATATCGGACGTAACTGAAAGTTTTAGCAGATTTATTCGGGGAACAGTCGCCCCGAGTGGTCCGACATCCGCATCTCATCTCATCGCTCTCTCCGTTCGTTCGTTCGTTTCGTTCGTGCTGACTAACGTTAATCCAATAACGCGAGGCGAGCTTGAAAAAGATGGGAAGCTTAATCCTCTCGACCTTTCTGCCACCAAGCCGTATTCGTCTTTTAGACGCGATATTTCAGCAGAAGGGAATTTTTTCATGAATTTTTTCTCTGCTGTGCACAGAAAAAAAATTTGGTCGGATTAACCAAAAGATGAAATGATGAAATAGGAACGTACCTGAAACAGTTTCAAGTTCTGGTTAATCAGAAATCTTGTTAACTTGAACGGTATTCTGGTAACTTCAGCCGGAATTTTAATACGTTCATGTTTTATCAGATATTTGGCTAATTCAATCAAATTATTTTTTCATGTGGTATGTTGGAAACTAACCATTACTAAATGTTTTTACAACTTAGAAAATTTTCTCTTTTCTCGATTTCACGCTAGAAAGAAACATTCACAATTAACCTGCGGATACCACAATCGCGTATCAATTTAAGATCAAAGTACCAATGTTTGGACGTATCCCCGGTCATTTTTATAGTTTTGCTCTTTAAATACGAATAATTTAAATTTTCAACATAGAATGTACCTGATTAGAAATTTATCTCATGGTCTTGATCAGGTCGATCCCAATCAATTATTTGGTTTGTATATAAGCTGTTATCGAGTCACGATCAGTTATCTAACGCAGCATGACAATTAGAACCTTATTAACAATTATTGTAATCATTAATAATGAGAATCTTATTAATAATTAGAATACGACAACATCACCTTACACAGACTAAATAACTGATTGGATCAATCTGATCAGAAGATCATGCAATAATTGTCTATAGCCAGGTACGTACCTTAAAAATACGCTTATATTTTATGTTGTGAGTTTAAATATTCGTGTTTGAAGACCAGAACAATAAGAATGCCCGGAGTTAGGTACGCGTCCAAGAATTGGTATCTTCACCTTCCCCGTTCGCTTGAGAGTCGAGAAAAATTTCAATTATAATATCGATCGTTCGAGACGCGGCACACGAAGAATACTTGAGACAAAAGGAAAGCAAACGACGAAGGGGCCGGGGGGAGGGAGGAGGGTGGGACGGAGAGGAAGGTGAAAAGAGATGGGAAGAGGGCCAACCTGGCCGATGCGTCCGAGCGACTCTGATTGTTCCCTTAACGATCGGCTGACAGCGAAGACGTATGTCAGTGCCATCAGATAATGCGTGTTACGTCGGTGTGCACCTCACACTAGCGCGATCCCGCGCCGGCACGCCCGTGCACACGTGTGCACACGCACGTGAATACGGATCGTATATGTGTGTATGTGTACGGGATTGACGTATAGAAATGTTCGTAAATGCTTCGCACGCCGTCGTCCTCGTCCTCGAAGTCGTCGTTTCGCCCCGTACGTCGGGGACATCTTCATAATGTCGCGTACAAACCGACTGTCATGTCGTATCATGCCTCACCAACGAACACACAAACGCGGCGACGGAGTCGGCCGACGGTCGGGGGAGAGGAACCCGTGGTACATACCGGTCGATGATCGCGAATCGATATCGGTGCATTCGTCGAGGCCATCCGTCAATCGGCGCGTTCCACGTGCGTGTGCACGCGTTGACGTGGGTCTTCCGGCAGTGATGCCGGAGAAAGAAAGAAAGAGAAAGAGAAATAGATAGATAGATAGATAGGTAGATAGAGAGAGAGAGAGAAAGGTCACGCGATCGTTGGTAAACTCGCGTGAAAATTATTATCCTTTTCTGCTTTTTCGCCATTCGCAACCAACTCGTACAAGGACGCATCCTCGAGCTGCGTTCCTGGATACCACACTGAAAGAAAGGTACTTGAACATTTATTTGTAGGGAATACAGAGTTTATTCTTTACAAAAATAGACTTTATTAATACAGAAACTTTACATCTCCCACAAATATATTTTTAAATGTTCTTTTTTCAGCGCACGAGCTTTTAAAAGACGTCTTAAGGACGTTTAAAAGACAGTACATTTTTTGAATGTCTTGACACCCAAAGAAATATATTTTTATTTTTAGCAGAATCCTCTTATACACAACCTCAAAAAAATTCTTCTAAGCTAAGAAGAAAATATTCTAAGCACAATAGTATTCTTTTTCATTAGAAAAGAAGTACTCCTTTCGTTAAAAATTTTCGTTTAGGAAATGGGATTACAGGAAATAGCACCTTGCAATTAGAGTTTTTTTATGTGTTATGAATTAGAATAACTGATTTTCAAAAGAATTCTCTCTTGGGGCCGTAACATAAGAGGATTCTGCTAAGAATGATATCTTTTGGATGCAAGACATTCTTTTAAAAGTTTACTGGCTGATTCTTTTCGAATTGTAAATTGTCATAAATCTAGAAATTTGTGAATTTCCGGATGGATAATGTATTTAGATATATGTATTTGATATTAATTTCTAGATTTATTTTTCAATTGTTCACCAGCTGTTTCCAATTCTTGCCCAACCCTTGTTCCTGGCATTATTCCACCATTATCGATGAAACAACTTGCGAAGTGGCGAAAAGGAAAAAATCCGCCAACAAAGCACGAGGTTCCACGTGATCGGTCGGCAATGCGATAACACACGAATTTCTCTCTCGATCGAAAGGAAGAACGAGACAAACTGATCGCGCGCAACAGCTATAGGCGTGCAACAGGCTTGCCGATCTCTTCTTCTCTTTCTCTCTCCGCCCTGTGCACACCTCGAAGAAAATAATAAATCGCTGCATCAAGCGGCCGCGATCGTCGCGAGTAAAATGTATTAACACAGTCGCCGCCCGGCGAGCATCTAATATAGCAATTGTTCTTCTTCATTCGAATTGCGTACGAGGTAATTGAAGGGCGCGCCAAATAAAATACGCGCCCTAAGGAGGTACGATACAGCCGTCAGATCTCGCGCTTGAAAGTCAGAACCGGAGGGCAAGAGAAACGGGAGGAGGAAAGCGAGAAGAAGAAGAAGAAGAAGAAAGGTGGAAGATGGAAGAAGCAAACGAAGAATATCGAACGAAGCAAGAGAATAGTCGAAGAGAGTAGGGAGGGATCCGACGAGGAATGGGAAGGAGGGACAGACAGAGAGAGAGAGAGAGTGAGAGAGAAAGCAGAAAGGCAGACGACCAAAGGGTTAAAAAGAGAGGTAGGCAGAAGCGAGCGCGTTGATAGTGGGACGAGAGAGGGAGGTAAGGAGGAAAGGAGAAGGTAAGGATAAGAAGAGACCTATCGGACCATGTGGCAGGCGCAAACGGTGTGAGTAATGGCGTCGACCAATCGCTCCCAGCTCTAAAACACGAACGCGTCGGCCGCCTGTCTCCCTCCCTTCCTCGCGCGAACGCGTATAGTAATAACGAGCCGTCTATCATCGTCGGAATCATTATCATCGCCGGATCCGCGGTCCTCGTCCTCCTCCTCTTCCTCCTCGCCGTCGTCCTCTTCCAGCCGCTTGACCGGCTTCTCGTCTTTCGTCTCTACTCGTCAGGGGCGTATCTACGTTGAGACTTAATGAGACTTAAGCTCCGGCTCTCGGACTTGTCGAGGAGCACCGAAATTAATCTCGCTCGCGGAGATACTCGTCGATCTGTTCGGATTAAGAAAAGCGAAGATGGAAATCATGACCGTTGTTCAAGAAGACAGACAAATTTTGAACGCGCAGTCCGTCGATAATTTGCGTTTGAGTCATCAAGAAGGAGATTCGAGACGCGAGTAATCGCGACGATCTGTCAGTCGCGGGAAATCTGTCGGGAACGTTCAATCGAACGACTCGGGGAAGTGCGAAACGTAGGATAAAAGTGAGAACCAATCGATGTCTCTTCGCTGGATCGCGTCGCCATTGGAAGTGTCGAAAAATCAGGAGCTACGGACGTTGAGAACTCATTATCCGCCCCTGCCTCTCGCTTTCTCACTTCCAGTTTATCAGCGAGCGACGCGACGAGAGAGGGCGGAAGGGTGTGCAAGAAGCGCGGGGGGGATTTAATGACAAAATTATACCGAAAGAGTGCAGCTTCTCGAGAGATGTCCGTGAAGAAGATATAATACTTTCCCGGGCGAGCGGCTTTATCTCGCGCGCGTGTTACGTTGATGAAGATGATCGGTCGCGAACTCGCGCCGCGAAAAATGTCGCGTTAATCGCAAAATTGCATCGGGCGGCCGCGCGTGCGAGAAGAATTACTCGTGTGCGCGTGTTGGCGCGACAACTGGCGATTACGATTCGAATTCGCGATAAACACGAGCTGATTATTCGCGAGCCACGCCGTAATCGGTGTTCCGTTCGAGTTTCGTCTCCGAATTTATACGAACTCGCTCTTCATGTAGAAAGCCATCGCCCTTCATTCGCGCTGGTTACGCTCCCAAGCACCGGTGAAAAATTCCTTCTCTATGGGTGGCGCTTTTTTGCATATTTATACTTGCATTTGAGGCGCGCGTCGTGTTGCGATTTACGTCGCGGACAATTCGCGAAATGCAGTTTCGTTATGCACGCGCTACGATCGCACCGGCTGAGGTTGGGCGTATCCTGAGCGAACGAACGAACAGCGAATGCAAGCTTTTGTGTTACGGTTAAAAAATATGCATGCTTTAATGGGGTACTGAAGTCGCCGACGAACTCGAACTCGAACAATGTCGATAACGTAGAGACGATCGTCACTAACACAATCACACTATCCTTTTCGTATTTCTTGTATATACAGAACTTATATAAATATGTAATATGTGTTGCTTTGTTTTACTATATTTATATTGCAATTTTAAACAAAATCGTAAAGCTCGTAACTTGTTTTCGTAAGACTCGTAAGAACTCATGAATAGATTTGCAATTCTATGCGAACCGCGTACGTCATACGATAACTCGTAAATATCTATGACTTCTCGTAAATCTTACGACTAACTAGAAGTTGTCAATAAAGTTACGGTTTGTGAATTTTACCAACATTACAATTGATTCGTAAGATATGGCTTTACGATTTACTCGTATATTTGCTTAGAATTGCAGCATTATATGTCCACTTTGTAATTTTTTATCATCATTTTTTCACAACACTGAATAATGCTCCAATTCATTTTTATACGTATTCTCATTGTGCGAAAGCATTTGTAATTCTGTGCGACTAATGCGATGTAAGCTTTGCGCGGAGAAAAGTCAGTGCTTTGTCGGTGAAACTTTCAAATATAGAATCTCCCTTAAGGCTCCTGGGCTCTCGCATTGTCTATCTCTTTTTAATGACGTCAGAAGCGAAAAAATGCATGCTAAAAATTCTTGCGAAATACGTTAAAATAAAAATATATATCCATAAAATAACCCTTGCAATCGATTAAACAAATTTGTAAGATATTCCGTGCACTCTCCTTTTGCTGTAACAATCAATAATTTGTCATAAATTAACGTGACATACAAATTCATGTTCTTAACTTATTTCTTCGCCTATTTCTATTCAGATTAATTTACAGTAAATTATTGAACAAGAGGGAAGTGCACGGAATATCTTACAAATTTGTTTAATCGATTGCAAGTGTTACCTTATGGATATATGCTTTTATTTCAATGTATTTCGCAAGAATTTTTAGCGTGCATTTTCTCGCTTCTGACGTCATTAAAAAGAGATAGACAATGTGAGGGATCAGGAAGCCTTAAGGAATCTGAGTGGAGAACGTCTTATTCGGGCCGATTCGCGACTCATGACATTCGCGACTTATCAAGGAAAGTTTGCGCGCAAGATGAACGCAAATGTATGACACGTTTCGCCGTTCGTGCGCTCAGTGTGTAATCGAACTTCATGCGGCGGCACAGAAGTCGCGCACTCGTATTAACGATGCGGCTCGCGTGTGCAACGAACGGGCCGACTACGCGTCATGATCGATCGACGGTGCAATAATAATCGATGCGCCGCGCCACTCGGCCGTCATTTAGCACCTTGTTATTACGGAAATCGATTCAATTTCTCACGCTTAACAGTGCGCTGTTATCTTCGTATATTATGGTAATGAAGACGGTGGCGCGGAGTATATCGGGCCGCGTATCGAGAGGGAGAGAGAAAGAAGGGACGGGAGATCGATCCGGATCTCTCGCTCATTAAAAAAGAGAAGAGGGAAGAAGTACGAGACGCGCAATAAATTCTATCAGGTATGCGCGATTAAAACTACTCTCTCGCGCTCGCTCACCTCCTCCTGCCCGTGCAGGATACAATCGCGAACGATCGGAGGAAGCAGCTGATATATTGCTAGGCTATATACCGTGTTATAGGCCGTACGGCGCCGAGCCGATTACGATCGAACACGTCACTCTTTGTCTCTCTTCGAGTGTGGACCGCGCGTTGATAAAATTTCAATTTATCACTTCGTCGTCGGGACATCTAACACGGGGAAAATGGGGGATGCTCCGCGGGAGAGGAAGGACAGGACGGACAAGAGAATCGCCGCGTCTCCTCCTCCTCCTCCTCCGTTCGCCCTCACTCGTGACATCCGAGTCTTCGAGGTGCGCCGCGCGAGTTACCTGAGGCGGCCTGTATAACAGAATGTAAACGTGAGCTCGCAAAAATGTGGACTGACTGCGATCGATTATCCGCGTCGCGGTTGCTCATCGCGGCACCGATTACCGTCGAGATTGGCGAGGCGCAGAGAAAGAGAGCGAGAAGCGAGAGAAAGAGACGGAAAGAGAGAAAGAGAGAATTAAATCTCGATCGTTTGCAAGATCGCTGTTTTTGCGAAATCGTATTTTTTCCGATTACATCGATCCGCGCGAATACGGAGGATAACGTAACACGTTATCCGCCGGCGACTCGTTAATCACGTGTGCGTACACGCGTCAAAATTTGCCTTTGCGCGCACAGAGAGAGAGAGAGAGAGAGAGAGAGAGAGAGAGAGAGAGAGAGAGAGAGAGAG